ACTTTCTTTTTCTTAATTTTGATTAATTTGACATAACTCTTCTGTTATTCCGTTTTATGGTATATTGATCAATAAAAATTAATGTTAAAAATAATTCATAAATGATTTCTTCTCGTACAGTGGTCTCATCAAAATCCCAGAATTCTAACCACGTATCTACTAAATTATGCATTTTAAAATGATAGCAGTGTTTTTTCTTTTTTCTTTTCTTTGCTTTTATTTTGAGATGATTTTACAAATAAAGACCAAGCGGTGCTTTTCTTTAGTTATTTTGAATAACCACTGTTTTTATTTTACTCTTTGGCTTCATGTCTTGTGTAGTTCAAAACTTGAAAGGGGAGCATTGGATGCCCAGCCAGTCAGACACGTAGCAACTGTAATGTATCAGTAGTTGAAAAGAAATCTAGCCCTGACTGTATAGAGTTAGCAGTTCATATTATTTTACCTATGCTGACTTTTAGCCAGGAAAAACATTTACTGTTCTGATGATCTCCTAGCATTGAGAGCCATTTCGTAAGGTCCTTCAACCATGATCTGGTCTGTCAGTGATAGATTATTGCCAAACCTGGTCTGCTAATAGGAAAATTTCAAATAGCCAATGGATTTTAATTTAGAACAGCTCAATCTTGTCTCTGTTTCAAGCTGTATTAATCTGAGATGCCACATCTGTCCAGAATAGGAAAGCACATGTTCTCAGTTTACCTTTCCTTTATTTAAAAGGAAGCTGGAGAGTGAGTAGCCAGAGAATGTGTTCAGTGCCGTCTACTGTCCACCTGCTTGTTACCACCCTCCATGCTTTCTTCATGTTGTCATTATGCTTCGCTGCTATTAGAGAACCATTTTCCCTGAGGTAAATATGCATGACACTTGTCATTTGCACACCAGGATACTAGCCTTAACGAATTTCACTAGTTTTACACTCTTGTTAAGAGATCTTGAACCCAGAAGCCTTTCTGCCATGGACAGGGTTAGTTTAAGCAAGTACATCATCGATCCTAACTCTCTGGAGATTGAACATCCTAGAGAGGCACTTCATTGCTGCAGTGGAAAGAGTTACCGTGGTTCTGTTGCAAGGTGCCTTTTTCCTACACATGTGCAGTGTCTTTGAGTAGAAATAATTCTCTTGGATTTAAGCCTGAGCAGTTTTTATGCCCATATGATGTGTGATGAGCACAGGACTAGATACAGCCCCACAGGAGCCAGGTGCTTTGAGTCCCCAGAGATTCTGGCTACTGGCCATGAGACAGCCTGGAGGAGGCCAGTGTTTTCCCATGCTGATAACTCTTAGATAAGTTGTTGACAACCCGAGAGAAAGAATAGTCACTACCAAAGAGACTTAAAAAGAGCTGTGTGATTCTTGTGTCTCTTGGTTGTGTTCCTTAGTCATCTGTGGTGATTTAGTGGGAACAAGAGGTCTAATGTGACCTTGGGGAAACATACACATTGTTGAGGGGAGGACAGTTTTAATGTACTTTTTGTTCTAGATTGGCAACTGCCAGTAGCCTAGTTATCTTTTTTGTTGTTTATCCTCACCAGAAGGTATTCTTCCCATCCCTTGCCCGTAGATTTTTTTTTTTTTTTAGAGAGAGTGGAGGGGTGGGGAAAGAGAGAGAGAGAAACACATTGATTGGTTGCCTCCTGCACGCGTCCCCGCTGGGGCCAGAGATCAAACCTGGTACGCACCCATGACAAGGAATCAAACCCGCAACCCTTTGGTGCACATGCCAACATTCTAACCACTGAACGACACTTGCGAGGGCCTGCTTATTTTTTGCCTTATTTGTCACACAATGTACTGTGAAAATAATCTGAATAAGACTTACAATGAAAACACAGGATTTGAAGAGTGTAGAACTTTTCTTTTCAAAACTACTTTCCATGCCCGGCCAGTGTGGCTCAGTGGATTGAGCGTCGTCAGAGGTCCGGTTTAATTCCCCGTCAGGGCACATGCTAGAGTTGCAGGCTTGATCCCCAGTGAGCGGCATGCAGGAGGCAGCCGATCAGTCAGTCTCTCTCACATTGATGTTTCTCTCCTTCTCCCTTAAAAAAAAATCAATTAAAACATATTTTTAAAAAATAAACTTTAAGTTGGTAGTTATAGAAATAAACACCTCCTGTACACCACCCGCCAAATGAGAGAGAGAGAGCTATGTTGGCATATGCTTGCCCTGGTATTTTCTTCTGTATGACAATTAAAACTGTTCAAAAAATTCTTACAGTTTAGATAGTTCTCCTTTGATTTTTTTCTGTTTGGCAACTGCTAATTTGGTTTCATTGCTTTTGTGAGTTTTGATTGGGCAGTAAGTCCTCACTTAACGTCATCAATAGGTTCTATAACTTTAAGTGAGAGATACACAAGAAAACCAATTTTATCATTGGCCAACGTATATAAACAAGAGTTAAGTTCCTACAAAGTTATAATGAAATGAAGTTGAACAAAAGGAAGTTATTTGAGAACCTGCTGTATTTCCTCCTCCTGTCATTAAATTCTGCCTTCAATATTACCTACTTTGTCATTAAAGTTAGCCTGTAGTGGTGTGGGGAGGGGGCACACTTATCATTTGACTTAGTTGCTCTGGGCCACTTTGATAAGCTGGAACTCTGACCTTGACTTAACTAAATGTAGTTTTAGGCTTTCTAAGTACAGTCATGTGCCTAATAATTACACTTCAAGGACAGACGGAGGTACCATAAGGTTATAATGGAGCTGGAACATTCCTATAGCCTAGTGATAGTGAACCCTGGTACCGTCCTCGCGCAGCGCACTGCTCGCGAGTTTGTGGTGCTGCTGCTGTGGACAGTGGACTGCGCTGCCAGGCAGGTGGAAGCGTGGTGCATACAGTTATGTAGTACAGGGCGTGGTGCTGCTGACACTAATAAATGATGACACTGTTACTGGCTTATGTATCTACTCTACTTTTTATTGTTATTTTAGAGTGTACTCGTTAAAAAAACATTTGCTGTAAAACAGTATGCCTTGTTAAGCTGGCAGCAGCTACTCAGGATTGCATCATTTTCTCTCGTGCGTGATTTAATCTCGGGTTGTTTAGTGCAGTTACATGCTGCACAGGCTTGTAGCCCAGGAGCAGCGCCAGGTAGCCTGGGCCTGTCGTGGGCCAGACCATCCAGGCCAGTGTAAGTGCGTCTGTGATGTTTGCTGAGCAGCCCAGTCCCCTCACCATGCACTTCTCAGAATGTGTGCCTATTAAGCAGCACATGACTATTTCTCTTAACCAACTGAGCAGTGAAGTTTTTATTGGCATTCTTCCCAGCTGCATATGAGGAAGCCACATAAATAGTTAAAATTTTTGAGAAAGGCATGGTCGCTGCTTTGAGCTTCCTATCTACTTAACTCTTGAATAATAAAAATGCTGTGGCATAGACTGAATGGCAAGAACATGGGTAGCAGAGCACAGTGGCTGGACTCTGGAGTCAGCAGGGTCAGAACTTGTATCCCGAGCCCTTCACGGTGGCACTGTGAATATCTTGCTGTTGTGGGCCTCAGGTTCTGCTTCTGTGAAATGAGCAAGTGAGGCTATGGCGAGGATCAGCTGAGTTTCCTTTACACTTTTTTCCTTTTCAGGGGTTAGTAAATAGCTGTGATAACTAGGAAGTCAGCCCAAAGACCCTGGACAAGTCAACAGAGCCTTGAAAGCATGTGCGGGGGGTGGGGGTGGGGGGCTTGTGAAAGCAGTGCATAAAGAATGTGTGTCAGGACTACAAGGGGAGAGTCTGTAATATGAGGGAGGAGGAAGAAGAGTTCATAATGGAGGTATGAGCTAATGAGATCATTGAGCACAGGAGAAAGGGCAGCTGTATGGAGCATTCTGAGGAAAAATCATCAGGACTTGATGTGTGAGGCTGTGGGATGAACAAACTGAATGGGTTTAAGTGGGCAGTTAGTATGTCATTCATTCACTCATTCTTAAAGTACTGAAATCGAAAGTCTGCTGCTGCAAGGTTCTCTTCTGGGTATTTGGGATTCGCTACTAAATAAAACAAGCCCCTGCTCTTGAAGTTGACTGTCTAATGGTAACAGTGTTTGAAATTAGCAACAGCGTTTGGGCATCCTGAGGTGTCAGTTAGCTTGTGACCCTTTTGTGGGCTCTAAAAATCAGGTGGGAAGCATTGATGGCAGCCCAGCTAGTGTCTTCATGAGATCAGTGCACTGTGTTTTTATGTTTTAGGGCCATGAAGATAAGTGTGTAACAGTTAAACTGAAAATTCTGTATTTTACAGGTCAAAGGAAGGAACAGTACTCTAAATTTAGTAATTTGTCTGATAGTTAATAAATTTCAGAGACTGTCATAAAGTTTGGAACACCTAGGAAATTGTGAAAGGTTTTTTTTATAGGCTTTGGTTGGGATTAAATTAGGTCCATTTAACAACCAGGTTGAAGTAATTAGAGTGAACAAGACTGTAGTACTTGATGGCTTTTTTCCAAGTGGTTTGTGGCCTTGTTTTTGAAGTAGTACTATGATATTTTAGTTTTTAGTCTAACTTTTCTTCAGTTCTTTAAGGTGAAAAAATTTAAGTTAGTACTAGATAATTCCTTGACCAAAAAAATGTTGACATAAGGAGTAAAGAAGGTGAAAACCAAAATGTAATTTCCAGTGGTATTTTAAAAGTTTGAATTAGACAAACATTATTTAATTAAAGTTACAATGCATGTAAATATTCATTTAATTTGGATTGGTTTTTGTTTAATGTACCTACTTGTGTTTCATAGTATATATATTTTATTTTTTTGGTAACCACAGTTAATTAGCTATCAAAATAGATTACAAGGCTTACTTATAATTTTTAAGGAAAAAATAAGATTTGGACCTAATAGTACTGATATAATTTTATGCAATAAAGGAATATTAAAATTATTCTAAAAAACAATTAAAACTCTGAACTGCTATAAATATATTACCTCTTAGTGTCTAAATTTCTTAGTTAAAAAAAAATAACAGATGTATTTTCTTAAGGATGATTTTTTTTTTAATTTCCTTTAGGTAAAAGTGCAGTTTTAAAGTGTCTACTGGATATTCACAGAATTTTTCAGGAAACTGACCCAGCTTACATTCTGAACGATCTTTACATCTCAGACTACTGCGTGTGGATTCAGAAAGCCAAGTAAGTCCTGAGTTATGTGCAAATGTTGCATGTTCCCCTTCCTGGAATACCTCCTTACTCTGGAGGAAGACAGTGAAATGACCTGGAGAGAACTTGAATGAAAAAGAGGCCCTGTTTCGCTACCAAACACTGTAAGAGGTAACTGGATCAACATGGGTAGCTTAGTGAATTTGCTTAGGGAGGAAGTATAGATGTTGAAAAGTTAATGTTACTAAAAAAAAAAAAAAAATGGTACTGCCTGGAAAATAAATGTTAAAATGGGCAGTATGCATATTTAGTGCTATGCTATTGATTATACAATATGAAATTTCAAGACTAGGTATTTGAACCTATTGCTGGTTTACTTACAGTGCAATGTGAGTGTGCGTGCTTGTGTAAGCATCTCTGGACGCAAACTTACTCAGTCTGAGCAAGGAGCTATACATTCATTGGACAACCACGAGCTTTTGGAGCCCTTTATTCAGAGTGTAAAGATTCGATCTTTAGAGCCTAATAACATGGTGCTCGATCACACACATCTAAGGGTCTGAACACTCGCAAGTGGGTGCTTGCACTTGGTATGTAAACTTTAATAAGGGTTTTCCATTGCCTCAAAGAACTATATTGAGTTTTAAAATGCATGGAATTTTCATCTGTGAAGGGTTCTATAGACCTGACTCTTATCACACATGCCCACAGTGTCCATTTCAGTATTGAGGAGCTATTGAGAACACAAAGAGAGCTCTTGATCGGAATGATTCTTAGAAAACGATGTGTTGTAGAAAATGATGACACAATATCATTTGTGACTTAGAAGAAAAATAAATGATCATGATGTCTTCACTATTACTGTGATTGGTCAGTTAATACTTTAGTTTGGCTTTAATGCCTATTTCAAGTAAGCCATGATGTAGAATCTATTTTTGAGTTCTATTCATGGGGAAGCAATTATATTGCAGAGTGAAATAAAAAATCTTGAAACTATTACCTGTTACCTGTTGTAAAGAAAATGCCTGGGGATTGCTCAAGATAACGCCTAATAATATTCAGCAGGTGGTGTCAGCATTTATGTTGGAAATTTAGATTTTGCCAGATGGAAAATTGTATCTCCAGTCCCTGAGGTCATGATGGCATGTCATCACTTCATCAAATCCTTCAGCTAATTGAGCTTATCAAGAGCTCTTCTGCCATTTCCTGTTGCTTTCATAATAAAATTAAATGAAATTTGTGTGGGTTTAGATCTTTCTTTTTTCTTTGAGAGTGAGGATTTTATTAACATGTAATGAACATTGAGATTTATACGAGGATCCCATTTCTGTGAGTTGCATTTCTTATTAACTTAAGAGAAGATCATATCTCATTAAGTAGAAGCATACCCTCAGGTTGATATGGGAAGTAGGAGAGTTTCTCTTAAACATTTTTCCCTTTGGTTTTAAGTTGCAGGAAATGAAAGAATTTCTTAGATTCTAATAATTGTTATAATAGTAATTTTTTAAAAGGGGTCATGTATTGGGAGGTGAGGTAGCAAAGAGAATTTAGCAGGATATCTTCAGATTACTTTGGAATTTTTTTCAGCTTTACCAAGTTGAACATAACTTTCCTTTCCCTGAATAGGGTATGTTGTTTTCACTTTATATATTTTCACTCTAGTCTAACTCAGCTATTCTTTTCTCCTCCTTGAAATAAGATATTTGTTCATGTACCTAATTTTTATTAAATTTTCTAATTTCATTCTTAAATTTTCAAGCACAGCATAATTGAGCTTTCAGTGTCCTTGCCGCTGTGACCCTCCCGGCTCTGGGTCAGGGATGCTGCAGAGTGTCCGAGATCTTCCTGACTGACTTCTCTCTCGTGTGGTTTATCAGTGGGAGCTAGTGCCTATCGTAAAGCAAGTCTGTGTTTGCCTTAGTCTCTGTTTGTTTTTTATTACAATAATAAAGACTAAGATTTTATTTGAAATATCAGACAAGTACTAAATTCTGACTAGCACAAAGAACAGCATTCCATTTCTACATCAGGCGTTTACTTTGGCAAACACTTATTGGAATGTGGATAGCAGAGTCATTCTTATATTAAATTAATGAAGTTAGGGCAATAGTTACAAGTTTTGCTTCAGTACTACTAGGTTATTTTTCCTTGTGTTATCTGTATCTTGTAGAGCATGTTTTCAGAAAGTGGGTGAAGGTCGAATAGCTTATATAGGAGAAAGGTCTGTAATAGCTAAGGTCTTCTGGGTCTGGATTGCATAGTTTTCCAGATATGCCATCTAGACAACCAGTTGTCTTTTACCATGATATCTGGAGGGGTGGAGGGGAGCCTTCCCTTTAGAGAGCTTTTTCTATAGAAAGAGGAATTAAGGATTCATTTATCTTCCTCCTGGATATTCCCATAGCACCTGGTATAGAGATGATTTGGGCACATCTCACACCTGCCCTATGTTGTAGTAATTTAGGTGAGTATCTCTTCCCCCTGTAACATGGTAAAGTCTGTGAGAAGGAGCACCTACCTGGGCCCACCACAGACCCTTGTGTGCACCACAGTAAATTATAGTTGAATTGATTGGTACCTAGGAAAGCCAACTGAGGAAGCATTTCTCATTGTTTGAAAAGAAAAATTATAGTACTTTAAAAACTGTGGATTGGCTCTAACTTATTTTTTAAATTTTCAGCTTCATTCAATATAAGATGTCACCCTCCCCCTGATTTCTTTGCTGGTGGGCTGTACTTATCAGTAGCAGCAACAGTTCTGACCTCTGGAAATTGGCCAGTTTATGCCCTTCCATGTAGGCTGGGATGGAAGCACATGCACCGTAAACACGTTCCAGCTCTGCCTCGCATTAGCCACAGGACTTAGCAAGTCACTCTGTCACCCCATCGAATGCAGCTGGTATCAGCATTCTCATGTTTCCAGTTATTTTGCATTTTTAAGCCAGTGAAAATAATTGCTTTACAATATACATATCATTTTGTGAGTTGTTTTATACTTACAATAGTACCCTATAAATCATTTTCTTTTGTAACATAATATCCATAGCATAATGTTTTTTTGTTAAATAGCTTATTTGTTCCTCATTATAAAAAGAGTATATACCCACTGAAGAAAACTTGATACTATGTGGTTTTAATGAATGGTGTATTTTGAAATGACAAAGGATTAAGTAGGGTATTATTTTGTTTTTGCTACATGGAAAAATTTTTGCTCTTTTTTTTTTCTAAACAAAATTAAAATCTAAAATCTCGACAGTCTTCATTACAAATCTGAGCTTGTGAAGGTTTCAGGTCACATTTTTTTTCACTCTAGTATAGTTATTTAAGGTCGTTAGTTGGGGGAATGATGTCTTTGAAATGCTGAAACTTTACATTGGACTAATAAATAGTTTACTCTGATTCATTCTCCTGATCCTTTTATTTTTTCACTGCTTTTTAGCGTACTTTTCCCCCACTAAATGAAATCTTATTCTGTGACCCTCTGGACACTGACGTGGAGAGATTATCGGGGACCTCACTGCTGCCTCGTGCTCCTTCAGGGGCTCCCCCGGGGGGTGTGCTGTGGTGGAGGGCAGGCTGTTCCTGGGAGCAGCATCGCCCTCTTCCTTCTGACTGTCTCGCTCCTGGTTTATCTGCCAAAAGCTATGGGAGTGGGGTAACTCCGATGCAGAGGTAAAACATCAGCACTGACTATGAAAGTTCAGTTATTTATTTTTTCAACTGCTAATTATTGAGCCCTATAGTCTGCCAGGTACTGAATGAGCGAGGTGGTGGGGTGCTCTGGTGAATGAGCCGCCTTAAAGCTGATCTGCTAGTGGGCGTACAGATGTGAGGGGCGTGATGCTTTGGCTTGACAGCAGCTTCAGGGGGACAGTGGGTGCCGGAGAAGCTCCAGGGGGGCACACAGCTCTCAGAGTACAGGAAACAGCCTCCGGGAGGAAAGCAGAGGCTGGAGCGGAGAGATCAGGAAGAGTTCGCCAGACATAGGTGGGGAATCAGAGGTGAAGGTATTCAGACAATAGGGCCAGAAGAATATGTCCTTTTAACGAGCTCAAAACCTCAGGATGGTTGGATCGTAGTTCAGGAATGAGAGGAAAGAAATGAGGCCGGAGATTTCATGTAGAGCCTTGGCCACATAAGAAAGATGTTTCCCTTTGTCCTGGGAGAATGAAGCAGCTGAAGAGTTTAAGCTGTAGAGCAGTGTCTGTAGGAGTCACATAATGACATGTAGATTCTGGGAAGACCCATCAGGTCACATTGTGGGGACCGGGTCGGGGTGGGGCAGAGAGCAGACTCAAGACGGAAAGGCTAGTGCGGAGACCTGTGGTCAGGCCCGAGGCCGCTGTGACCTGAGCGCGGGCCGTGAGGGGAGCCGTGGGGACTGGTCAGATTTGAGAGGCGGCTGAGACGGACTTAGTGACTGATTGGATGTAGGTGTGGGGTCAGCGAGAGGAGGGAGTAGTCAGAGGTGAGATCCATTTTGATTTGGCCAGTTAACTGGGCTGTTGGAGGTGCATTTACTAAAATTAAATAATATCGGAAAAAGTTAGGTTGGAAGAGAAGTGCGAGGGAGGGAAGATGTGGAGTTCAGGTTTGGAAATGTGGACTGGAGGTCTCTAAAGGAATATCCATAGGAGACATTAGGAACATATGGGTCACAGCTGGAAAAGATATATGGAGAGGAGTTTGGACAAAGAAGGCGTATGAATTAATAGCAAAACATAAAAAATGGGATCTGGTTGCATAGTTACACATCTGAATGTAATAATGATGGGGAGCGTGGATGCATTCCAGGCTGAGGAAGTCGCATCGTGCAGAGGAGCAGACAAGTAGGATGTGTGAGAACATGGCGGACAGATTTCCTGGTTGGTTGTAACTATGGTGTTTTGGGAGAATGGGAGTGAAGCTTTTTTGCACTTGGATCACAGTTTTATCTCGCCTTGTAGTGTCCCTTTATTATTAAGTAGTGCCTACAGTTAGCCTGGAGTCACAATGTTTTAGTAACGGGGCCAAATATGAAATCCTTATTTCTTC